CCAGAGAACAGGAAGAGCTGGGGGAGGACAGGAAGTGCCTGTCCTGGAGGCGCTCACCCCTGGGGGAGAGGGGCGTGCCCCTGGGCCAGGGGAGCAGAAGCTTCCTTCAAGGCCCCTTGATAGCGACTGGACTTGGGCGTGGAGAGTCAGAACCAATCATTGGTCCCACATCCTCCTCCAGGACATGGGTTCTGACCAGGCTCTTGGACTCCCTCTGAGGGAACAAGGTCCTGCAAAGAAAGCCATGTCCAGCCTCAGAGCCCCAGGTCCTCTGGCTCAGGCTCCAGCTACGTGTCCGTGCCTAGGTGGCCTCATGTGGCTGCCTCTGACCTCCTGCCCAGCAATGGTCTGTCTACTCCTGAGGGCCGGGGTGTGTTTGGCCCCCAGCCCCACAGCCCAGGGCACTCTTCAGCCTGACCTGACAGCGACTTGGGTGGTCTTAAGGTCAAGGTCCTTACCTCACAAACAAGAAACTCGAGCCCTTCAGCCTTAATAAATAACTCCTTAACCTGAAACAAATTACCATGCCGTGAGCCAGGTGGCCCTCAAGTACCTAGAGAGGAGAAGACATCCTAAATGTATCATCTCCTTTTACGCTTACGGGCCTGCCCGTGTGGTCTCACCTAGGCAGATCCAGGTAGGTGCTGACGTGCAGAAATTGCCTAGGTGGTATCATGTGGCCAATTAATTAATGACTTTCAATCAAGAACAGAAATGAAGTTCCACGATTGAGTTTGTTAGCGTGTGTGTGTGTAAAAATGAGCATTACAGATTATTGGAATTAGTTTAGAATATGTGACGTTATCAAAAGTATCCGCTAAACATTTAGGGCTTGTTTGGTTGATTGTAAGTGGAGCAGTGCCCCGGCCRGTGACCATTGGAACCACAAACACCTGAGGAGATGCATGGCGGCCCTGGGCTGCCTCACCCGGGAAGCATCTCTCCTGGTGGCTTTGCGTTTGAAGGCGACTCCCTGTCTGTGGACTCCTCAACTCTCGAGGGCAGAGGACACTGTGTGTCCATACGTACCATTCATTTTTGTTTGTTTTCAGTTCAGCAAATATATTCCGTATCATTACAGAAAACACTGTTTCTTTATGTCATAATTAGTTGGTCTTTTCAGGAAAAGTTTAACTGATATTAAAGTAAATGAGTATTTTTTAAAAGAGAGAGATTTACTCCCTTAAGAGAAAGCCAGAAATGTTTTATTTCTGAGAATTTTTCTGTGCATATTTTTTGGAATATTGTGCAACTCAACCAGAGACCAGGAACCAGGTGGACAGGAGGTTGAATGGGTGGCCAGGCAGTGCACCCGGTGGCAATGGTGCCACCCTGCATCAGGTGCAGAGGTGGAGATGGCCAGCTTATTGTTTCTGAGCAAAACAGCGGCTGCACATGCTCATTTCCCAGGGGATGCCAGAAAGTACCCGTGTTTGGATGGAGCCTCCCAGCTTGAGTCTACTTAGGAGGCAAAGAAATTATTGCTAACTAAGTTGAATGCCTCTTTGAGCTCAACCCAGACTCCAGGACACAAGTATACACATCTGGCTTTAAAATTTTGGACTTTTACCATGTGATTGGTGCAGGTCTGTAACCCCCCAACTTGGAAGGCTAAGGCAGGAGGATCACAAGTTTGAAGCCAGCCCCAGGAACTTAGCAAGACCCTGTCCCAAAAAGTAGCAAGGGCTTGGGCTGAAGCTCAGTGGTAAAGCACACCTGGGTTCAATCACAGTATCAAAAATAAATAACACTTTAAAAAGAATTACACATTTATAACTGTGTCTCCATACGTACACGGATTTGGCTGAACTCCAGTCACGGTGCTTCTGTTGAGACCCACAGTTGGGACTGGGGGGTGGTTGGGGAAGGGGCCCTTGGCAGGCTGATGGTTCTACGCACCTGCTATGAGGGAGCAGCCCAGCTGATTCAGAACCTCATGTGGGTACCAGGAGGTTCTTGGTCCCGTAGGTCCCTGTTGGGTCCCTGGAGACCCCCTCTACCTCCTTCTACCCTCAGGAGGTAGAAGGCCACCTCCCAGCCACTGCAGCATCTTACTGTGTTACTTGTTCTTAAATTTCATTTCATAAGCAGCACAAGTTTGAGGAGCAGCAGACCAGCCACAGATGCCTTAGCCACATCCCCTGTGGCTGTCAGTCAGCAGTGGGAGGATGGCGCCCCAGGGGCACACCAGCCCTTTCTCGGGCAGCTCCGGGGTCGCCTGCTCTTCCTGTCTTGCGGGCAGTCCCCCCTACTGACCTCGTGTGCACGCGGACACTTCTTTCTGGAGTTTGCTTCAGTAGCCAGTGACGGACGCACTAAAATGACTTCCTCTGCCTTCAAGGAAGTGGTCTTGGAAGGCTGATAGCCTGGCTGCCCTGGGAATGGCCTCAGAGTGGGTGAGCAGGGAGAGCACTGACCCCAAGATGGACGGACGGACAGAGTGAATTTCCTTCAGGTCTTCCAGCCGTCGGGCCTTGTGTGCCTGAAGCTGGTATTACATAGAGGTTCACCCTCCGTGGTGGCCTGTCGGGGTTCCAGTGGGCACTGTCGAGAGAAGACAGTCACCTCCCTGATAGTCGGGCCACAGGCAGGGGTCCCGTGGGCAGAGCAGGCTGGAGTGCCTGGCACAGAAGTCTGGGTGACAGCCAGGAGGTGTCGCGCCCTGTTCCGGGTGGCTTCCCTCTGTCCTTCCACCACTTTTCCCTCTTTCCCTTTCACCTGCCGTAGAAATGTCGGGGCTGTCCTGCTGGGAAGTCATGTGATAGAGGCAGGGTGGGGCCAGGGAGCCCCACGAGCTGCTCTTCAGCAGCGCCTCTTCCCCAAGCCCAGCCCTGATGGGTGATGTGTGGGATCCAGGTCCCTGGGGAAGAGAAGCACAGGGGACAGTGCAGCACCAGCGCTGGCATGGATGGCCCAGGAGAAGGTGGAGCACCCAAGCACTCCTCCAGCAGAGCTGCGCAGCCAGCCCAAGGTGCCTCTCGGGAGGGGAGCCCAGAACACACGGGGCAGCTCTCTGTCCTGCTCTGCCGTCCATTAGCCCAGGAGAGGCTAAAGGTGTGGGGGCTGACCGATGCGGCCCTCACGGATGCCCAGGACGAGCACAGGATTGTGGCCATAGGCTGCCAGAGGCGCCCCAGCCAACCTACCCCCTGAGTTCTGAACGCCCTTTCGTAGCAGGGTTCCAGCCAAGGCACCCCATGCCCGGAGGACAGCTCCAGGCAGCCACCGGGGCAGCTGTGATGTTTCCCTGGGAAGGCTGGCCCCTCCCCAGACTGCTGGGAGGAGTGGTACAAGGACAGGGCTGGGGTGTGCTCCCATGACACTGTCACTCAGGATGCAGGACTCGGAGGTAGCTGTGTGTGTCTGGGGTGTCAGAAGGTCCAAACCATAGCATCGAGCTTTCAGAACACGAGAACTGGGGGGAGCCAGCTCAAGAGCCTGCACCTGGGCAGAGGAGGCAGGACCCGAGGCTTCCAACCGGAGTCTGTGCCCTTCCTGCTCGAGTGCCTTCCAGAGCAGGGGTCTGCAGTGGGGCACCACGGCTACAGGTGTTTGTCTTACTAGTTAGTTTGTTTGGGGTTTGTTTTTTAATTAACCTGAGTGCTGCAGCCGGTCCATGCAGGCTTAATGTGCCCTGAGTCACCTGGACACCTGACTGGACTTCCAGGGCCAGGGCGCCTGGGACTCTGCGTTCCCGGAGCACTCCCTGGCCATGCCTCTGCGCTGGGCCCTTGGCTGCAAGGTTCACAGCTTCCTGCGTCACTTCCAGCAGTTTTCTGGACTAGGTTAGACCAGCTGTGACTAATTTCTTTTATGGTCCCAGTTCAGGCACCGGCATAAAATAGGTATCTAAAGGTAGGAATATATGTTCTAAAGCAAGACCCTTTGTCTCCGTAAGCTCGTGCGTTAGGGCCCCACCCTGCCCCTCGGTGAGTTAGCTTTCCAGGCTGCACATGGTTACATGAGGCCACTTGTTTGGGGAGAGCCCTGGTTCCTCTCCCTGGCCCCTGAATCGCCAGAGTGCTTTTGAAAATGCATATTCCCCAAGCTTATCCCCAGACCTCCTGAATCAAAATCAGAGCCTGATCTTGAAGCCTCTATTTTTAAAAAGCTCCACGGGAAATTCTGGTAATTGGCCAGATTTAGGAACTGCTAATGGGCTGCACATTTAAAACCCTGTACTGTGAAAACCCTCCACTGAAACAGTTTASAACTTAATTGGCTCTGAACTAAAACAATTGAAGAAAAGTTTAAAAAAAAAAAAAAAAAGACCAACCCCTCTAGATCTAACGGACTGGTTCAGGAGCTGCAGGTATGATTGGCTGAGCTTTAGAGAAAAGCACTTAATTATGTTTTTGAGTCTACAATTGGTGTGACCAGATAATAATTCATTTTGATGTTGAGCAACTGATTGAAATCATTAAGTGTACAATGGAATCATTTTTCATCACAGCCCACACGCACTATGAAGTCGCTGGGGTTATTTTTCCTCTGCTTAGTCATTTCAAGGTTAAGAGTAAAGTTATCTGGTCCCGGAGTCTGTGTCTCCTCCATGGTCGCGTCTGGGGACTTTGATTTGTGTTGATCATAAAGTACCGCTGCACCGTAGCTTCATCCTCTGGCACCAGACGCATGACTGGTGGTTGAGCACGTGTGGCTAGTCTGTGGACAGGTTGGCTGCAGGCGCCTGTAGCCGCCTCCTGCCCTGGCCCCTCTTCTGGGGCTGACTGTGGTAGGTTGTGTCTGGGGTCTGCTTTCTGTGCGGCCATCTGAGCTTCAGGGTCCTTTGCGTGGCTCCGTCCAGCAGCAGCAAGATGTGCACCACCCTTATTCCTCACTGCCCTTTGCCGTATGGTGCTTCCATTAGCCAACGCAGGATGACAGTGGCTCTCGGTGGTCAGGTACACTGGGTGCCAGCAAGAGGCCCTGTAGACTTACCTCGTGCTGCCTTCTGTGGTCTGCAGTCCGCCGTGGTGTTCACCTGACTTGTTTATTCCTAGGGAATGTCACTAGTGCGTCTGGGTCTCAGATGGCAAGCGGCGTCAGCCTGGTCTCCTTCAACAGCCGACCCGACGGCATGCACCAGCGCTCCTACTCAGTCTCCAGTGCCGACCAGTGGAGTGAGGCTACGGTCATTGCAAACTCGGCCATCAGCAGTGGTAAGAGGGGGCACACCCCCACAGACCGCGGCCACCTCCTGGTCCTCCATGTAAACCAGGGGCTGGGCAAGATGCCTGAGTTCAATGTGCTCCACATGGAGCACAAAACCCTTGGGTCCCTATGACAGCAGTGCCGGACTCGCCTGTCACCTGTGGAGCGTTTCTTCTTGATAGTCTCTCATCTGCATCATCTCCTCTGTCCCCTCTGCTCAGGGAGTGGATGTTTATCCCCAGTGGACAGATTTGGAAACTGGGGCTGCAGACAGGACAAGTGGCTTGCCCAATGTCACGTGACGTGACAGGGAGATGCTGGGTGAGACTCAACATCAGCTGTCACATCCCTGATCACACTGCCCGACACGGCGTGGCCTGCGTCCGCCTCAGCGCACGTCRTACATTGTGAGGGTGAATGTAGTCTGTTGTCTGTTTCCTAGGGTTCCTGGTGCCCCTCTAGATTCTGGAGCGTCCCTCTGTAATTCCTCACTTCTTCTGCATTGTTTTAATTTTTGACAAGTGTGGCCTGCTTCCTAGGGGACAGATGTGCAAAGGAAACTCTTTTGATGCAGTTGAAACATGAATYATCACGTGGGGGGCACCCTTGCTGGCCACAGCAGGCTCCGCCTGTGGCATTTTGTCTGTGGCCTGTTCACTGGTGTTTAAGGGAATTCCCACTGTTGTACACAATCTATCAGACAGGCTTTGAGAATAATTTTAGCATAATTTGTTCTAATTAAAAGATGCAGCATCAGGTCTTCCCTGAGGACCCACCAGCTGCTGCGGCAGGACCCTGCTCTGGGTAAACATCATCTTTACTTCTCGTTACTCCACACTCCCTTGGCGGAGATGGCCACACGGAGGCCTTCAAGGAAAGCATCTCCATGCGAGGAGGCAGTCAAGGTGATTCAGCGCTGCCGCAGCAGCACAGGCCTGCGAAAGCTCGCTCCTGGGGGCACAGAGATAGCACGCACCCAGGTTCAGTCCACGGCTTTGGGAGACGTGAGCATCTGACACCAGCCCTTGCAGGGACCCCTGGATGCTCTGCCCTTCACCTGAGCCCTGGTGATACCTAGAGACCCCCAGTGGAATGAGTTAGGGTCATTATAGATRAGCCCCTGCCTTCTCTCCCCTCCCTGACCAGACCCATGTGCCTCAGCCTCCAGCAGATACCGCTCCTCTGTCCTCTCACTGTCCCTGACTGTCCACCACACTCTCTGTCCTTAGGCATGAGCTGCTGCACGTGGCACGTGGACTCTAATACCGACCACTGTTTTCACCCTGGTGACCTTTTTCGGGAGCTAGTTCACATGCTGAATCGTTTTATTTTCAAGTACTTCAAAATACCTCGCGCATGCCCATCGCTGAGGCCCCATGGTGGTGTGCTCACACGRAGCCCAGCTGAGCCTCCCCGAGGCTGATGTTCGTGTGGTGTCACCGAGGCCCCGCCTTCTCATGCAGCAGCTCAGACCAAAAAGCAGCTCCTTTGCGAGAGAATCAGTGAGGCACCAGTCCGAGCAGAGCGGCAGTTCCSAGGTTCTGTTTGCTATGCACATGGGAGTGGCTTGGGAGCTCCTGAAAGACAGCGACCCCCACACGCCTTTGCCTCTYTGCACGTAGAACGTTTTTACACAGTGTCTGAAGTACCTAAGTACAAATTAGAACTGACTCACTAGATCGCCTTCCCTCCTGCTAACAGACACACACGGGCATTTCCACAAGGACAGATCCTGAGACGTCATTATTTCTAGTCCTGGGTTTGGCTGGAAGTCACTCTCCATGGAGGTTTGTTACACCGAGCTGTACACGYGTGTTTACACACTGCCTGTCACACCACACACGGCTGCAGTCACCTGCATTTGAAGGCTGTTCTTTAAACTGCAKAGTAACTTGTATGTGAGCACGCTGGGTGTCTGGCAGAGACCTGTGTGCTCCCTGGCCATATAGCACTTGAGCCTGTGCCCAGGAAATGGGACACCCAGGCCTGTTTCCTGGGTGTGGGCCTGCCTAGGGAGGCGGAGGCCAGCCAGAGCTGACCCAGTGTGGGAGTTCAGGGCTGACGAGTTCACAGGGAGAACTGCAGGCCAGGTGGATATTGTACAGAGCGGCAGGAAGTTGTGATAAGCACTGGGGCATTTTGGACAAAGACGCAGGGGAGGAAAAGGGAAATGGAACAGCCAAGGAGCCACTCGGAAGTGAAAGGTGTGAGTCATGTTCTGCAAAATGAGGAGAGAAGGGGAAGAGCAGAGTGTTAAGAGGCCAGAGTGGCTGTGGATCCGGGTCTTTAAACAGCAAAGACTAGGAAGAGGGCAGAGTGGTGCAGAGTATGGTTCCTGCGGTTCCCAGGGCCTGCCCGACACCTGTGTTTTCTGCCACGATGGTATGTCATAGCTGATGTGTTTTTGAGGAGGAAAYGATAATAAGAGCTGATATTCATTTCAGGCTTCATGTGGATTATCTCCCTTATTCTCATGGAGTAGATCCTGTTCTTAGCTCCGGTTTCTGTAAGGGGATGGTCCAGAAGTCAGATGGCTTATTCGAGGTCTCACTCCGCCTAAGACCAAGATGCATGCTCCAGCCTGATCACAGGCCTTGGTCTTCATTCTCCATCAGCTACCCCTTGGGCCTACTTGGAAATGCAAACAATCTGTCCCCATTCCAGAACCCGGGCCACAGGACCCAGTGACCTGTGTGGTTGCAGGCCCTGCCAGGGACAGTGTTGCATGCTGAAGTCTAGATCCTTGCCTCCTTGTGGTCCCTGCACACAGTGGCATCTGACAGTCCCTGGCATCAGCAGCTAGCCATGCAGAAATCCAGGCTACCCCCACAGCCCTGAACACACCCCTGTCTTCCAGTAGGGCACTGTCCTGGCCGCCCTCAGGCTGGTACCATTTCTGCCTTTACCATGTTGATTATCAGTGGCCAAAGCCCAGCTGTCTTCCATGAGCACCAGGGTGCAGAATCTGATTGGGGGCACTTCAGTGAGGTGTTTATAAGTCAGTTCCAAGACCTTTGGCATAAGCATTCCCAGGGAACTTGGAAGTTAATCACCAAGGAAACACACACCAATAACGGCTTTCTGCCATTCTTTATAAAGTTGCAGTTAATGCTGGACACACTCCCCCGCTCCTGTTTGAAGGTATTTTACCCCCCACCAGGCCCTCACCATCTCTGGTTTGGATTTCGGAGTCCTTAGACACTGGCAGGGCTGGCCCAAGGAGGTGGGGCTGAGCAGCCTTGGAGCACACCTACCCGCGCGCTGAGCATGCAGCCGCGGTCACCAGCATTACGTTGAAACGCCATAACAACAACAGCCCCGGGATTCATCTCTTCTCTGCCCCCACCCCCGCCCCCCACACACACATCCGAAATTAAGACTTTGGCTCCAGAGAACTTTTCAATCTTCCCCTTTGACACCCAGTTCCCCCGGGGCCTCTGCGMTCAGGCAGCTGTGAGCAACTCCTAATTAGATAGATGGCTTGGTTGTGGGCCACGCCAGGAAACAGGGGGTGCTGGCTAAATTAAGAGGAGAAGCAGAGAAGAATCCATTCTGTGAAATGGAATGCCCCACTGCTTTATGACTATTACTGTTGTAAGCCTTTACATTTAAGTACCTGAGGTTTAAAATTAAACGTCTAATATAATTTGGCGTTGCTAACATGAGCCCCGCATCTGCCCTTAGAGAAAACCCAGACAGCTCTGTTCAGGGTTTCAAATTGCTGGCTGGCGAGCCGCTTGGAGGATTGGATCCCTCTTCCAACTAAGTACCACATGCTGGTTGGCGTAATTTTTTAAATGCAGAACGTATTCATCTTGGGCTTCTGCATTGAAAAAGGCTGTTCCAGTAGTACATGAAAAATTAATTTCTTTACATTTTTTCTCACTCTCCTAAGTGTTTGACAGAAGTAATTTTTGCAGCAAGAGAGAATAAAAACTGGTGGCTGTAAATTCCTGTCCTGGAACCTCTTGTGTAGATTCTTTATGGACCCAGAATTGATCTACATGTCAGATCCTGTTGTGGTTTAAACTGTTTATCACCGCAATGGCAGTAGTGAGCCCGTGAACACCAACTTATAACCCTGGGTGAAAGAAATTGGTGTTTGCAGTCAATGAAGGGGCAGCTTAGCTTTATTGATAGATTCAGAACAATTATCTCTGCGACAACTATTGGCTGAGGGTTCTCTTGAATCTTACTGGAAGCCTGTAATTTCCTGTTTTATTAATCATTTTCTCTGCAGGTAATTTTCTCTGGAAGTGTCAGCAGGAGTTAGCACTGCAGTGGGGCGCAGGGTGCCCTGGGGGGTCATTTGTAGCATACCTGGTAGTCATAGCTCACTTCAAGGCGAGAGGTGTCTTCAGATGTGTCACACCTGTGCTGAGGGACAGAGCGGACCCCATGCCCCCGTGCATTTGTCAGCCTTCCTTCCCAAGTGCCTGGGCGCTGTCCCCGTCACTGCGTCCTGCGGGTGCCAGCCTTGGCTGGGGGCCTCAGCCATTGTGTGTCTRTGGCAGCCGCGCGCCCCACCTCCTGACTGTGGGTCGCGCTGATGGCTCCGCCCCGTCCCCCGATTGCTTCAGTCCAACAGTTTATCTTCCCCGCTGTGGCTGGTGTCACTGCTAAAGCTGCATTTATTCACGTGGCTCTCTAGTGCTGCTCCTCAGCCTCCCCCAGGCGGCCTTCTCCAGGCCACCTGCAGCCTGGTCAGCACTGAGCACCTTCTTTCCCTTCTCTGCACAGAMGTTGTGCCCGGTGTGTGCCTGCGTGTGAGCTGGTGTGTACCTATGTCTGTCCCTGCTTTCTTCTAACCACTCGATCGTGTCTTCCCCCAGACTCTATGGTGACTAGACAGTGGATCCTGAATTGGAAGCATTTCAGTTTTACTGACTTTTAAGTATTTTTTCCCTGTTATGCTTGGGTATTGCTCTCCCTTTCTTCTCCTCCCATAGAGCCAACCCAATAAAAGGCAGCAGCCTGCATCAGAGACCGCAGAGGTCCCAGCGTGCAT